GATAGGTGGTCAGATTTTGCAAGTATGGAATTTTTCAAATGAAAAGTGTCTGTTTTGAGGGCAACAAAAGAGTAGATACGTCCTTGTTTAAGTGATCCATCTTTTTTCAAGCCGACATCATATTGAAATAGAAAGTAGTCTGTTAGCTTTGGAGGACGGGTCTTCTTTAGCGAGGGACATTTCTAAGTCAAAACCAACCTCATCTCCAAAGATGCTTTAGAGCTTACTTAGGTTGTTTTCTTTTGTGTTCTGTGTCTCATCCTTGCTATGCCTAAATCAAGAAAGGTGAGGAGTGTGGTTGAGAATATGAATGAAAGTAATGTGCTAAATGTTGGAACCATTGCTGTGTGATTCCCGTAGAGCACTGTTCAGAGGGATTTAAAGACAGCCATAGCTGAAATAGTTGTATTAACAACTATTAACAAATAAACACGGGGGAATCTGCTTTACCCAGTCATTGGCCATTTCATTTGACATTCGTGTTACAAAAACTCAGGACAGCAGAGATCATTCTTTCCAGAGACAGACTATTCTATGTGCATATAGTAGCTGTTTCCAGAAATAGACCAAAACTGAGTAATATTAAAAACTACTGTAACAATGTGAAGAACAATTTTATTTTGCAACAATTGTATTTATTCTGTCTTCCATTTGATATTCCACAACTTTTAGTAATGTATTTAAAGTCTTTGCAGATCAGTGATTTCTTTCCTCGGGTAGAGAAGTCTTATAGGTGAAATTCTTCCATAATGTGTCATTTTTTTGCTAAAATATACCTTCCACTTACTGTATTAATGGAGTTGGACTTCACAAATATTCATTTTATATTTGGTCCCTGTCAAAGATATAACAAACTTTAATATCAGACAGGACCAAAGACTTTCTCAGTTCCTGCCATTGTTGCCCTTCCTTACCCCTAAAGAAAAAAAAGAAGTGTTGTGTTTTGAATTAGTGAATCTATGGTAAAATACAAAAATCCATCTAACATCTAGTTCTTTTAAGGTTTGCTAGCATTGCAGTTGTAATTCATCTAAATAAGACTAAGCTAAGTTTAAGCTAAGCTTAGGATTTGTAAGGTATATTAGCACCAGCAAACATCAAGTTATCTTGAGTCAAAGCAATATCTGTTTGAGGAGGAAAGTAAACATGCTGTTTGTCTTCATGCACCTGAATTCTATGCATCTTAGACTTAATGCAGTTTCCCTCGTGCTAAATGGCTTGCTTGAAGGTAGTTCAGGCAGGCCACACCTATAACTTCAGAAGAGGTATGTTCAGAGTCTCTTATTCTCAAGATTCATATAGTGTTTCAAACATTTTGAAGAATTATTGTGTATTTCTCATTTTATTTTTTGTGCATTCTATACTCCTCTGTGATACATCAAGCAGTGGTCTCTCAGTATTAAAGCTCGTGTTTTATGGCATGTCCACGGCAGAGTAAGTATCAAAGGAGCTAGAACAATTTATGTAAATTAGAAATTAAGAACTACAGAATAGTATTACAGGAAACAAATGGATACAAAAATAAATATAGTCTCATCAAGGGAAATAAAAAGGTGCTTTTATAAGTAATGAGAACTAAGGAACTGTGTCTTAATAGATTTAATTTGAGAAGGGAAGAAACCAGTTTACTCATGTAAACTTGATGATAATGTTGATGTTGAAATGTTTTCCATGCTAATGGCAAGATTAAGTGTATTTAACTACAAGGGCTAAATTAGACAACAGATCAGGAAAACTTGCCTAAGAGAGTTTTAAAAGAAGCAGATAAAGAGTGTTCTGGATAACTGTTGTGTTTTTCTGTTCATTGTTGACACTGTAGAAAATCCAGAGGACTAGAAGAAAGTTAATGTTGTGTCAATATTCACAAAAGGTAAACAGGATGAGTCGAGTACTTATAGGTCTATTAACCTGACACTAATCTTGTGAAAAATAAAGCGGCAGCTGGCAGAGAACTAGAGTACTGAAGTAAATGAGATCAATTATATAATGGTAATGAATATGAATTGATAGAAAGTTAGACTTCTCTGCCTAAAATTGTTTTTATGAGATTAAATGTTTGATTGAAACAGGGTAAGCATCTTGATGCTTTGTGTTTGCACGGCTCTAGAATGTGCAGAGGTTAAAAATTAGCTAAGATACCAGAATGCTACAGAATTAATATGGAACACATCAAGCAGCTTTAAGCCTGCTAATTATAGGCGTTGGAATGCAATCTTGAGGTACAAACTGGCGTAGAAATATTCCAATGAAATCCTTTTGCAATAAGGTTTTAATTCCAATATAATCTTACATCATTTGTTACCTGCAAGCAACTATGAAGTCTTTACAAATGGCATAAAAATTAGAGTTTTGGGCAAGTAATAAAGATGAGCTGTAGATTCAGTGCTTCAAATGTTTTTAATGTAGAAAAGAACAATATGGAATTTATTGAAAAGTTGGGGGATTTGATGTAAAGATGAGGTCTGCTTGGGAGTACAGGGCTAAATATCTGCTACACAGGAACCACTGCTATATAGTGATGCTTCCAGAAAGCCTTGTGAAAAAACCTTTTTTGAGAATGATGAAGGAATGTAAAGATTTTGGTTTATCTTATTACTGTAATTGAAATATTTTTATTTTTTTATTCAAAGAATGTCATGAAATGGAAACTTAAGGAAGATCTAATACAATTACTGAAGAATTAAGTAAGACCTAATACTAAAAGACCTAATATGACAGATGCATTAAACTTGAGTATTTACTTTATCAAAAAAAATATAAGCAGTATTTTGATTACGATCTATAAAAATTTGCATGAAAACAGCAACCTAAGAGGAAAAGAACTCCTAGTATTTGGAAGATGTGGCAGTATCAAAACTGAAAGTGGAAAATATCTTTATTCCACAATCAAGACAAAAGTTCTTAGCACTGAAAAGGATTATAAGATATACAAAATCTCATGTGGAATTCTGGTACTCATTTGACCAACGCTATTAGGTTTGACTCAAGAATTAATAATAGAAGTCTTCTGGAAAATGTTCTGTTTTATGTCAGAGTAAACTGTGGATATATATTTTTTTTTCTGGCTTCAAATGAATAATTTTTCTTCCTGACTCGTCCCAGAAAAAAAGTTTTTATTGCTTTAAGAATTATGCATTTGACATATTCTGTAATGAACTCCTCCAAGTGGCAAATATTATAAAACTTGAATTGAAGTATGAGACCAATTTATTTGACTTCAGTCAAACAACATGCATTTTGAAAGCTCAGTAACTGATTCTTGAAGTATGTCCTACCTACATCATAAGACTTTATCTTTCTGTGTTTTGTACAGAACTGGACAAATAAATAGAGCTTGATTAAATAAAACCTTAGATAATTATACTTGCTGGTGTAGGTTTGTCTGGATAGACAAAGGCTTAATGGTGAAAACTGACTGTATCCTGTCTCAGTGTCCTTAATTATGTCAAAAAATTGACTCTGAGAATTGAAAATATTTTATTTCTCTGGAAGAGTAATTTCTTTCTATCAATAATTACTCCTGCTTTAGTATTTTCTTTTTCTGTCATTACTAGAATTTAAATAAAATGAGAGTTAAAATCCCTGTTTTACTTCCCAAGCTGTATACTGTCAAGCATTCTTCCTACTTCTTTCAGTCAGAATTTAGTCCTATTTCCCCTTCCTTGTTCCACTTCCTTATTCCACTTCTGATTAGTTTTAAGACTTATAATAATCATTTTAGAAGATTCAGAAGGATTTAGTTATTTAATCCAGTAGATCTGCACTGATCAAAGCACAGGTAGGTACATTAACCCATGTTTCCAGATAAGTATTAGGGAGAATACAAATTAAAAAAATCAGACTTTTTTATCATACTTTTGAAATAATATCACATCTGCTGGCAAATAACCATTTTCTTACATTAGAGCACTGAAATGAACTCTTTAGTTCATTCACTTTATCAGAAGAGTCCTGAGACAGCTGCCATGAAGTTTTAATCCCTTCCTTTGCTATATTTTACTTTTTGCTATTTCTGGTTCATTTTCTGCTCTGCTGATTTAATAGCTGCAAGTTTCTAGCATCGTCTTAGCAGATCCTTCTGAAAGTTGCATCAACAGATTACCCACTACAGCTATCTAGTCGAATTTGCTTGCAGTAGTTGCCCTTAATAAACCAATATTTCCCAGTAGGGAAAGATGCATTGCTTTTTCCCTCCTTTCAGGTATTGGAAAATATCAGCAGCTATTGACAGCAATACATAGGGAGATTGAAATACATGACAGATCTTGCCAAACAACCTTGTTGTGCTTTTCCTGCGCGTGCTCCATATCTGCTAGATCCTTGTTATGCCATCAGACACAGGGCAAGGGCACTGGTTTGGAGCAGGATTAGTGCCTTATCTCCCTCGCAGAATATGACTAGTGTAAGTGAACTTCAGCAGAGATTTGATAGCTTAGTAGTAGGGACACTTTTAGTGTGTGTGTGCATGGGAGAGACAATGCTCTCAGCCCCAGGGAGCACACTACTTGGGGAAAGCTTCTGAAAAAAATCAGTAGCATGGCTTGCAGGATCCCAAAATGTGAATCAGCTCTTTTATTTCAAACTGCTAAGATGTGAGAACTCAATCCAATAACAATTGCCTTTGTGACTGTAAACTTATGACTGATACTCCTCTCATGAAAATTCATACACAGAAATCCATCTACAAAATGGATCTATCACAAGTCAGGTAGATGTTTTCGTTTAAATGTAGATAAATTCCTGCATGATATCTGGGTGGTCAGATACTGATTTACCAAGATGAAGAGAGGAAATAAAAGGGCTTTCATTCCTGCTGCTTTTTTCATACTATAGTTTTCCCGGCTGAGGTACGTGTTATGTCACAGGTCCTGCAGCTCCTGCTTCAGTGAGAGTGGTAACCACACTACTGAAGTTCATACTGACAAAACCACTACCTCATCAGATCTGGAGCACCAACCTCCACTTGCACAGGGGCTCCTTCTCTTTTTCAAGTTTTTAGCAGATATCTGAATACCTTCTGGATTCAAAATCAGGGCACCCATTTAAGGCTAGCTGAATTATTCAAAAGGCAAACAACCATCTATCTGAATATATAATTACTTATATATAGTTAATTAGTGTATTTGGGTAAATTCAAAGGCAAATTACCCACCCTGCTACTGCAAATTTAAGCCTTTAATCATCACTCTTTTGTTGTTGATAATTTTCACTTTTAGCATTTGTTTCACTGTGCAAAAGTTTGAGATTCTTATTCTGTTTTTCCTATGCCAGGGGATTCTTCATGCTGTCCACTGTGATAGCTGTTCACAAATGCCAGGTTGTTACTGGATTGCCTTTTAATTATGCAATTGTTTGTTGAGCTCCAAGTCAAGGTCCCTTGTTGTCTTCTATCACAACTGTGAAGCTTGCTTCATGACTGTCATCTACTGTCATTTTGGTTTAAGCTTTTCACAATTCCTAGCTCACTGTAAAAAAAAAAAAGAAAGGAAAGTAATGGGATTTTGAATTAGCTCACTCCTACTAATTAGCACTAACGGTGTGGTTGTCCATTGCTACATTTTTGTTGATCAGTAAAAGTCTCGAAGAACCATCTGTAACTGTCTCATTGTTTCCTTCAGGTAATATTCTTTCTAGTACTTTGAAGAGATTTTTTAAAATGCAAAACTTCGCTTTTCAGAACACTTCAAACTAGACCTTTGAAATAGGAACACTCAGGGGAAACACAATGATGCAGAGGAAAAAAAAAATAATCTAAGTGTTGTGGATACTAATCTGGTTCATCCATTTTGCATTATCCTCAGCCTCTGCCTATACTGTTTTTATTCAGTTAGTTACTGACTGCTGTTTATGCAAAAACAAACAAACAAAAATCCAGTGAACAAACAAAGAATCCCAAAAAGCCAATCGCAAAAAACCTCAAACAAACCCAGAACCGAAACCAGAGAATCAGGAAGAACAGTGTCTCTCTTTTCTACACTTGCATGCAGCTGTGCTGTTACAACTTAGTATTTTTCTCTTCCTCCTGTGCTGCGGACAGGACACTGTATCGAGTCAAGGTACCTGTCATTATGGAATTCATGAGATATATTGCTGACATTTCCAGCCTTACATGTTTGGGAGTTCATTTATCTTCCTTTAGCAGTGTGTCACCACAGTCTGAGCAGCAGCTATTGTGTGTACACTTGCTTTACGGTTGGCAGGGAGTGCTTTCCAGTGGCTGAGCCCACCTTTCTACCTACTAAGTCCTTCAGTACTGCTTTGAAGAACATGCTCTTTTTTTTCAAGGTCATTACTGTATACTTGGGCAGTGTCTGAAGGGAGGGACAGGATTTGATATCTTACCAAAGGAAGGAAACTGTGTACATTTGATGAGTTTTGGGATTTTGTTGGGTTTGGTTTGGTTTAGTTTGGTTTGGTTTTTTTTAATATATCTCTGATTATGTGAACTGAGCATAGTTAACCAAATATATTACTAACTACTTCACCACCTGGGCTGAAGAATTTATTATTATTTATGTTATTTAAATGGATATTTGAGCATCTGACCTGAATATCTGAAGTACTGAAATGTAGTATTTGAAGTATTGCCAATGAAGTTAATAAATTGACCAGAAGAAGCCTTAGGAGACTGAAGTATTCATTTCACAGGCAGTTTAAGACATTTCTTAATTTAATTTAACCTTGCTGTGATCATTACCCAAGAGGCTTACAGAAATTGAATTTGGCTTGAAGTTGTACAGTGTAGATGGGGAAAAAAGATGCATCTGTGTGGTACTGAATGATTGACTGATGTCAGAATAATGAAACTGATACCCCAAATTCTTCCTTCAGATATGAACAATAGTGCTTTCCTGAAAAAGCTGTACTTTGCCCATCTATTGAGGTGTTTTTACTCAGAAAGAAATTTTTGTATGAGACATAATAACCCATAGCGGCGGGGTTGGAACTAGATGATCTTTAAGAATCCCTTCCAACACAACAATTCTATGATTTTTTAATTTAAACAACAGTTATTATTTGGAATACTTCTTTACCCTGGCTTAGCTACAAGCTGGTGAAGCAACAGTGTGATCTACAGAAGATTCTTCCTTTGGGTCTCTAAGGAAATGAATGATTTTGATGGAGAAGCACAGAGTATTATTAGCAATGCAGTCGTGTACAGCTTCTTTTATTGTTTTCCCGCTTCAATTATGCCAAAAAACTTGCCTACTTTCCAGATCAGACGTATGATGTCAAATACATAGTTTCCAGCTTTAAAAGAAGTGCTGAAGTTCATCATAGTAGCATTATTTATAGACTATTTGTGAAGTTTTGTAAATGTACAGAACAAATACCCTGAAAAAGAATCCTTAAACAGCTACTACTGAAATTTATTTCATCCAAAGCTTCTGAATGGAATATGTATTTTAAGTGCATCTAAAAGTTTTGACTATCATTGATAGAATTTTGCAAAGAGCCAGGGAGAAGTTTAAAGAGAATTTCCCCAATGTCTTGCATAAATTTATATTTACCATTCATCAGTGGTTGATATAGTGTTATGAGTTAAATAATAATAATAAATAATAAATAATAAATAATTTTTAAAAATCCTAAGCTAATAGAATGTGTTATCTCGTTTCAATTCAAATTAGTTATTTTGCAATTATATTGATTGGCACTAGGATTGTCAAAGTAGAAGAAAATCCCAGAAAGCTGGGACAGTTTTACATATGGAAAAATGGGAATAAAACACAGTGGAATTGAGGGAGGAATTCCAGAAGCTCCAGCTATGAATTAGGTTGTGCTAGTTGCAACATTAGCTATTTGGTAGCTATGTTGTTCAGAGCCCCAGAAATCACCAAACAAAACCTAGGGAGAGCCTCAGGATTTAGCTAGAGTGCATTAACTGCCTGTCAATCTGGTATTTATATTTCTCTTTTTTTGTATATTCCTCAACAGATTCTAGTCCAAAATGGATTTGGGCCACTTGGTTTGTGCTACATCCTCTGCCAAACCATGGGCATTTCTGTCTCCATAGACATCCCAACAGTGGCAACTTCTATACAAAGAACATAACTGATGTGGCACAGGGTAGCAAAGTGAATTATCTACTTTAAAGTGATGATACAAAACCTCTCTCTTTTCCTCTATTTGTTCTATATGTGTAAATTTTCATGAGGTTCTCAACCAGCTTTGCTGTACACCATGAACGTATTAGTCCTACAAAAGGTATACCTTGTGTACTGTAGGTAACCAGACTTACTGCTTGAATTAATTACCTATTTGCCATTGATATCAGGAAAGAGAAATGTTTTCCCTGAATATTTCTTGTGAAGATGACTTGGCATTTGGCTTTGTAGAAAGCATGACAAATATTTATCTGGACAACTCTGGCATTTCAGGCTATAAAAAAATATCATATTAATGTCTTAGAAAACACAAATTGAGAGTTAATTCTACTGTGCTTGGTGTAAATTTCTGGCTGTTCTGCTAAGGACAAGGTAGACTCATAGCTGTTATAGAAGAAAACACTGGTAGCACTATTGTACAGCAACTTGTTTTTCAGCGCTTTTTCTGAATGAATCTGTTAACATATTTATGAAGCTGAACTATGATTATCATATAATTTCTGATAAATGCTGAGTCATGGATTCTACCCTGTGTACATCAGGGTGCTGTAAATATTTATTTTTTTTTAGAATGGATATCTTTGCACTGTGACCCTAGAGGCTAATTTTATTATCTATTTATGCTGCAATATTTGAATGTAATTTGTGGTGGTATGTTATTTATGTAGCCTCTGAAACTTCAGGCCTTATCTCTGCAGGCAAGAACTTTGTAGAGCAGTAGTAAACCTGGCAGCCAGGTTTATTCTACTTTATGCTTGTAAACAGATTGTTATCTTAGATTATATATGGATAAGTAACTTCCATGAAAAAGTCATCTCCTAAGGAGAAAGAATTTGTTTACTGTTAAACAAAATACTAAGGAAAAAGAAGGAAATCTACTTAAAACATCCATCACCAAACCCTAACATCATAACAATTTTTGTACCTTAAAATATCTAAAAGGATTGTTTTGGTTCAGTTTTTCATGTGGTCTTGCACTCCAAGCTGAGCTTAGGAATGATTCTGACTGATGCATGGTTATCAAAACCTGTATTAGCAAAAGGTTGGAAGAAGAGAGGGAAGGTCAATTCAAATCAAAAAGAAATCTTTGTATTAAAGGAACAGCAATTACCAGAAATTCTGCTTGTATTAATATTGTCTGAGCACGTAATAAATCATTTTTCGTAGCTAATGCTTTCCTGTCAAATCAAGTAATATTAGAAGAGAGCTTTTACAGTGAATATTAATATAAGAGACAGCCATAAGTGAAGTAAATTATAGAGGCATGTAAATTTAGTATTAAGTGCTACAGCAAATACTCTTGCACTGTAAATTTCTTCTTCTAATGTTATTACAAAATTAGGCCACTTGGTAGTCATCTGAAAGTTGCTGAACATGGATGCAAGTTTTCAAGTACTTTGCTCATGTGTCTAAGTTTAAATTAAAAGTCATATTCAGGAAAATGAGTTTACAGTCTGTGCACTCGTCTTATGAATTGTGCTAAAGTTTCTGCACAGTTCTCAAATTCTGTTCATACATCAGAACACCTATCTACTATTCAGCCATCTATGACAGTTTAGGCAAGTAAAGGAATAACTACAAGAATTATCCCTCTACATCAGAAATAAGATGCATGAACTAAAATTTTGGCTGTCCATTTTGATACAGATTTTTAAAGTGCCAGATTGTTGATTGTTTACTTGGTTTTTTAATTCAAGATTCTTTGCTTTTGACTGACATTATAAAATTGTGCATACGGATTTGTGTTAGAATTTTTACACTTATCTCAATTTTGCTGTGTGCCGTTTTGGATTAGGAAGTGAAAGAAAGACATGGTCTCAATTTACCCACAATTACAATCCCAGTCATAATTTTCAAGTCACTTCCTTTTCAAGATTACCTAAGTCCACATACCATTACCTTTCAGATGTGAAACATACTTGAAAGCTGAACAAAGCTTTAAAATATAAAGTTTTTACAATAAGCTGCTTACATCTTTCAATCCTTCATCGACAGATAGATCTTCAACATAATCAGGGAGACAAAAAAGTTTCTTTTATAAGTGAGGTGAAGAAAATATAATCATGCTTTACATTTTACAAGTTATACTCAGTACACAAAGAGCTGTGTCTGAAGAGAATTATTAATCAGAATAATACGTTAATCTCGTAATACCTATTTTAGTTAAGCTGAAAACCTCCAGAAAAAAAATCTTATTCTGTAGGAATTCTTATTGATTTCAGTTAAGTCAGGTTTTCATGGTTTTTAATGGGTTTTACTCAGATTTTTAGATTTTCCAATTTTAAAGGGAAGTTAATAGAAGGAGAATTCAGCCTTCAAGGTATGTTGTTATGGTTATTGGAAATGTTACTTTTGAA